TGTACCTTTTTCTTTTTTGATCGGCAAAAAAAAAAACTTTATTAATGGAATAAACAAGTATAAGGTACAAGACAAATTACATCAATAAAGAAAAGGGAAGTGCAAAAGCATTACAATGAGCTAAATGATCCCAACTAGGTTGGTACAACAAAGCTCATCCTATCATTTGCTAGCACCTCCAAGTTGGTGAGAGACCAACGAAAAAAGAACAGACCATAGTAACAACAGAACAACCACCCAATTCAGACCATCAGCCAAACATCTGAAATAAAACGGCCAACCAACCAAACCAAGCACCTAAGCATAGCAGACCAGCAAAATAATACCTCAGTAGATCAGTATACAGGGCCATAAAATAGACCTCAGCAGATCTCCAATTCAGATAAAAATGCAGAACTGAAACACAGCCCAGAATCAACCTCATTTTAAATTCCTTGTGCTCATTATGCTAGCATAATCTTCACAGCTGCACATCCATACCTTTCAGCAAATTGTTGAGTACTCCAGGCATCATGGTTTCCCAATATAACTGCTTTAGCAACTTTTAGCTGCGCAATACTTCTAACAAGCTCAACGTTCTCATTTCCAAAATCACCTGGCAAAGCCCAACCAGGCAAACAAGAAGAAAAATTATTATAGTAGCATCTAGGAAGTGAAGCGGTGAAGAGAACATCTAGGATGCCTGTCAAGTGTCAACCATATCAAGGGCATAAACAAAAAAGAAATTGACTTGCCTGTAAACAGCACCAAATCTGGCTGCATTTCATATAAATGCACATTAGATAGGTAAAAGATATAAAAGGCAAGATATTGAATATGGTGGTTAACATCATAGTAAAACTAAAACAGTTTACAAGCAAAAAATTGGCACAAAGTTAAAATAAGAAATAAAACTGGTGATTTTAAAGTCGCATTTTTTTAACAAAAAACTAATGGCACATTTCAAATAAATTTCACTTCCATAGGTCAATACCCAATTTCGATATGTTACCACTTCAACATGAATTGCCAATGTTATACAGTCACGAGCGTGTGCGTGTGCTTGTGTGTACTTCTAACCAAGTATGGCACAGCCACATAACATTTCAAATTTTCAATTCATCAACAAAATTGTCAGAAAAGTCAATCCAGGTCACTGATGTAATGTTTTGATGTCAAGTTGGGATATGCAATAAAGGTTATTAAGTCATAATAGCCGATAACAGATGAAAGATTCACTTAGACACCAAGATAGAGATAAAAAAATGTTGCTGGAGAGAGAGAGAGAGGGAGAGAATCTACCTCTACCATGAGCAACTTAAAAGAGTAGGTTGCATGGGAAGAAAAAATAACAAACAAAACTGTATGTATTGTCCAACTTGGATTCACCAACCATTCATATAATCCAATATATCAAGTTAACATATTAATAAGGATTTTGAAATTGTGTAAGATGTAATCCTTGTCTATCTTCTATTGCTTGAAATATTTAGAAAAAATTCTATATTCAGGAGAAGTCCTGCATACTTCTGATTACAAAGAGTTCAAGTGCATACTTCTCCAGGCATGGGTCATCGTCGGTACGCTCAGGCATCCCATGTCATGGCACCAACCCGAGGGACCTTAGGCCCTTCTCTCTACTCGTAACTCCCAGCATAGGTAGGAACGAAAGCATCAAGGTGCAATTCTAAACGTGGATCATGGAGCAATATCAAAGCAAGGCATGGAGCGGGGGTATAGAGTTGAGGTGTAGTGTAGGTAGGCATGATAGTGTCGGGGTGCAATTCTTAACATGGCTCATGGAGCAATATCAGATTAAGGCACGGAGTGGAGAAATAGCATCATGGTGCAATTCTGGACACAGCTCATGAAGCGATGTCGGAGCAAGGCATGGAGTGGAGGAAAGCCAAACAAGAGCCAACCTCCCATTCACAGTGACAATATGGCTCTCTGTAGAAATTTAATGTATAAAGAGAAATGATTGTATTTTATTGATTGATGTATATGTAGCTTTAGAATCTAAAGTATGTTTGAAAAGAGAAAGAAAGGGTACTTCATACTTGCTTATACAACAATAATGTACATTTATGATTCAAGATATTGGTACTTATTAAAATAAATAAATAAATAAATAAATAATAATCTAGGATATTTGTTCTGAAAAAATTATGGGGGAAGAAAATAAAATTTTAATAATGAATGGCTCCCGAAACAAGAAATTGATATTATATGAAGAAAAACGCTCCAGTATAGGCCATCACTTATTTATTATGCACATGTATGTCCATATTTTTTTCAGAAATAGAGGGCCATCCATTTGCGAAAGCTTTTTTTTTTTTATCAGCAACAAAGGTAATGTTATTGATAAATAAGGAAGGTGTCCTCCTAAATAAATGCAGATGACTACAAGGACATCTGTACATCGCAAACCATTTTTTCTAGTCTCTAAAAATTTAAAAAAGTGGAACCCCTTTGAAAGAATTCTTAATGCAGTCCACATCATGAACTAATCCAATACTTCAATACAGTTGACTTACCTTTCAGCAAATTGTTGAGTTCTCCAGGCATCATGGTTTCCCAATATAACTGCTTTAGCAACTTTTAGCTGCACAATACTTCTAACAAGCTCAACGTTCTCATTTCCAAAATCACCTGGCAAAGCCCAACCAGGCAAACAAGAAGAAAAATTATTATAGTAGCATCTAGGAAGTGAAGCGGTGAAGAGAACATCTAGGATGCCTGTCAAGTGTCAACCATATCAAGGGCATAAACAAAAAAGAAATTGACTTGCCTGTAAACAGCACCAAATCTGGCTGCATTTCATATAAATGCACATTAGATAGGTAAAAGATATAAAAGGCAAGATATTGAATATGGTGGTTAACATCATAGTAAAACTAAAACAGTTTACAAGCAAAAAATTGGCACAAAGTTAAAATAAGAAATAAAACTGGTGATTTTAAAGTCGCATTTTTTTAACAAAAAACTAATGGCACATTTCAAATAAATTTCACTTCCATAGGTCAATACCCAATTTCGATATGTTACCACTTCAACATGAATTGCCAATGTTATACAGTCACGAGCGTGTGCGTGTGCTTGTGTGTACTTCTAACCAAGTATGGCACAGCCACATAACATTTCAAATTTTCAATTCATCAACAAAATTGTCAGAAAAGTCAATCCAGGTCACTGATGTAATGTTTTGATGTCAAGTTGGGATATGCAATAAAGGTTATTAAGTCATAATAGCTGATAACAGATGAAAGATTCACTTAGACACCAAGATAGAGATAAAAAAATGTTGCTGGAGAGAGAGAGAGGGAGAGAATCTACCTCTACCATGAGCAACTTAAAAGAGTAGATTGCACGGGAAGAAAAAATAACAAACAAAACTGTATGTATTGTCCAACTTGGATTCACCAACCATTCATATAATCCAATATATCAAGTTAACATATTAATAAGGATTTTGAAATTGTGTAAGATGTAATCCTTGTCTATCTTCTATTGCTTGAAATATGTAGAAAAAAATTCTATATTCAGGAGAAGTCCTGCATACTTCTGATTACAAAGAGTTCAAGTGCATACTTCTCCAGGCATGGGTCATCGTCGGTACGCTCAGGCATCCCATGTCATGGCACCAACCCGAGGGACCTTAGGCCCTTCTCTCTACTCGTAACTCCCAGCATAGGTAGGAACGAAAGCATCAAGGTGCAATTCTAAACGTGGATCATGGAGCAATATCAAAGCAAGGCATGGAGCGGGGGTATAGAGTTGAGGTGTAGTGTAGGTAGGCATGATAGTGTCGGGGTGCAATTCTTAACATGGCTCATGGAGCAATATCAGATTAAGGCACGGAGTGGAGAAATAGCATCATGGTGCAATTCTGGACACAGCTCATGAAGCGATGTCGGAGCAAGGCATGGAGTGGAGGAAAGCCAAACAAGAGCCAACCTCCCATTCACAGTGACAATATGGCTCTCTGTAGAAATTTAATGTATAAAGAGAAATGATTGTATTTTATTGATTGATGTATATGTAGATACAATTACAATTACAAGGATTCCTATTATATAGGAGTGTGTTTGGGAGTAGGTGGAGAGTAGGTGAAGTGGAGGTGGTAGGTGAAGTGGAGGTGGTAGTGGTGTAGTGGGTTAGGTTTAGTGGAGTAGGTGAGGTGGTAGTGGTGGTAGGTTTATGGTAAATTCTAACAGCCCCCCGCAAACTCAAGGAGGATAGAAACTAACCAACTTGAGTTTGGAGAGAGTAACAAAACAAGAAAATACATAAAAATAAAAGAGGATAAGAGACACTGTATGGTCGTGTCAGACCAGTGGTGAAGACACTGGATGGTGGTGTCATAACGTTGTAGAGGACACTGTATGGGGGTGTCATAACCATGTAGAGGACACTGTATGGTGGTGTCATAACGGTGTAGAGGACACTGGATGGCGGTGTCAGACCGATGTAGAAGACAGTTTATGGGGTCATGTCGGACCGTTGTAGCAAACACTGTATGGTCGTGTCAAACCGATGTAGAAGACAGGTTATGGGGTCATGTCGGACCGATGTAGAAAAATATTGATACAACAAACTGTTAATCTATTGGTGATTCTTCTTTTTTTGAGCACAAAGAAAGAGGCATTTGTGTTTCTTTCATTTCGATAATGTTACAATGACCACATTTGGTTTATCATGTGAGTAGTCATTATTGCATGGAAAGTGATGGGACCCATTACACCAATGACAACTCACATGGTGCATCAAATGTGGTCATTGTAGCATTATTGCTTTTATTTTACTGGTAGATCATAATAAAAAGGAGACATTTTGAAAAGATGTCACTTCTGACTTCATTCTCTTAAGATTGCAGTTGTGTACTTGTATTCGAATTTTGATTTGCAATCCAATAGGTGTCTCATTTTGGTTAAAAGTTACATTTAAATATACCATTGACTGAGGGCTAATTTTGGAATTAGAAAATGTAGAAATTGCCCTCCAGGATTTGGAAAGGAAGTATGTATCTGGTAAACAAAAGTTTTGTTAAAATTTGCTATTAAAGTGTCTAAATTTGTCATTATTTGTCTGAAAAGGTGAGCCATAAGTTAACATGCACGTGTTTTCATTGTCTGCAGGTGCAGAAGAGAAGGGACTTATTGGCAACAGAACTAAATGGGAAATTGCTCCAGAGAGCAAATTTGATTCCAACAAAAGTTGTGGACTGTGTGATGGAAAGAATCCAAGATATCATGTCAAAAGGGAGTTTAGACTGTAAAATGGTTTCTCAACATTTAGCTTGTACTGTCTTGGGAGCTACACTATTTGGGGATGCATTTTTGGGTTGGTCTGAGGCAACTATTTATGAAGAGCTTCTCATGATGATTGCTAAAGATGCTTGCTTTTGGGCCTCATATAGTGTTACTCCTATCTGGAAACAGGGATTTTGGAGGTACCAATATTTATGTACGAAGTTGAAATCATTGACTCAGGACATAATCCAACAGTGCAGACAAAATTACAAGCTATTTTGCCAAATGGATCAAAACCCTCATCATGAAACAAGAAATACAGTTGGTGGAGCTGCATCTGCTGCATCACATTCTGCTAATGTTGTGACGCCAGATAACATATTCTTACAGGAGTTTGATGATCATGTTAATGCAAGAGAACCATGTGGAAATATTATGAGTGTGATGTTTCATGGTTATCTAACTACCGCAGGTCTGATTGGTAACGTCTTAGCAAGGCTTGCAACAAACCCAGAAATACAAGATAAGGTAGCTGTCCTTTCTTTACCTAGTTCTTTAACATTTTGAAAGTTTTAAAATTATGTTATTTTGCATGATGTTTACATTTGTGATGTTAAATTGATGCCAAATATAAATGATTTACCATGGGAGTCCTAGAATGCTGCAAGTTAAAGCACTTTCAGGAACCACTTTTTAGATGTGGTTAATGTTGGAGAGAGAAGAGAGAGAAAAAACTAGGGTTTTGAAGGAGTTGTCAGACCAGAAAACTGGCTGGCAGGAAGGAAAGTGGTCTCCAAGGGAAAATACTGGTCTCCCACCCTTGTTCCACCTTCCAAACAAGGAAAACAAGGTTTTTACAAAAAAAAAAAACAAAACGGACGCAAGACGAAAGTTCGGGAGGCAAAACGCGAAGCCGAGAGCCTCGAAAACTAGCTGACAAGCACCAAAAGTGGTTTACGACCACAAAAGTGGTCTCCCAAACCACAGTGGCCCTCTAGGCCAAGGAAACAAGGTGTGGTTCAAAAACCACACCAAACGGAGAACGTCAAGCCATCCCGAGACAAGGCGCGCGGCCAAAGGCTCCGAAAATCGAAAACTAGTCTCCAAACGGGAAAAGTGGCCCATGACCACAAAAAGTGATCTACGACCACAAAGAGATGGTCTACCAGACCACTCCCTCCCTCCAGGGAAGAGAAACAAGGCTTGGTCCACAAACCGAGCCAAAGCACAAAGAGTTCAGAGGCCCGGAGGCAAGGCACTCGGCCGAAACTCCGAAACCTCGAAACGAGCACAACATGCACTATCACCGAGCTATCAATCGATGACGTCTGAGTCTTAAGGCCGGTCAAAAATGGGGTGTCTACAGTAGCCTATACACAATCTCAAGGTTCTATCTTTTTTCTTGACAAATGAAATTGGAGCACCCCAAGGTGAAGTGCTTGGTCGAATAAACTTCTTATCTAACAGCTCTTGAAGTTGAAGTTTTAATTCTTTCAATTCAGAGATTGACATTCTATAAGGGGTTTTAGAAATTGGTTGCGTTCCAGGTACTACTTCAATAGTGAATTCAATCTCTTTATCAACTAAGTCACCGGGTAGTTCATTTGGGAATTCATCGGGAAATTCATTGACTACGGGGATGTTCTCTACATTAGTACTATCTGTGGGCTCAGTCAATACACAACACAGATAACCCCAACACCCTATTTTCAACAATTTATTAGCTTTCATTGAAAAGATCAGATACGGGGGATGAATTACACCATTCCCAACAAACACAAACTTAGGTAACCCCAGTAGTCAAAATATAACAGATTTAGCAATACAGTCAATAGTGGCATGGTACTTTGTCAACCAATCCATACCCAATATACAGTCAAAATGATCAATATTAAAGGGCAGCAAATCAACATATAATAGCATGTCTTCTATCATGATGTCACACGCAGGATACACAAATGCACATAACATAGACCCTCTAGATGGTGTAGATACATACAACATATAGTCCATTTGTTCTAGAGGTCTAGTCAATTTTTGAGAAAAAGTATACGACACAAAGGAATGTGTAGAACCATAATCTATCAATACATATGCATTTTAAGCACAAATGGGAAGTATACTTGACACCACAGATTTGGTGTTCTAAATATCTCCTAGCACAAGTGCAAACACCACCACCCCCCTCAAGGTTTTTTTTTCCCCCCCCCCCCCCCCCCTTTAATTTCATGAATAGAAAATAAAAACAAAACAATACCAAACACACATGATGATGAACCTAGGCTCTAAACTTCTTGGTCTTTGTTTTCCCCCTTTCTTGGTTGGAAACGATGGGGTTGTAAGTGGAGATGACTTGACCCAAATAACAAGTATTATCACTATTACTACTGTAGCAATTCAATGCCTCAAATCCTAAAAAACCAGGCTGAATTTAAAATTGTATTGTGCCCATTAAAAATAACAATCTAACAAAGCTCATCATCTTAAAAGTATCAATATATTAGAAATTCCAAAATTCTATTTATATATGCACCCCAAAGTTGACAATCTACCAGAGCTCATCATCTTAAAAGTATGAATATATTAAAAATTCCAAAATTCTGTTTATATATGCACCCCAAAGTTGGCTTGTTGGTCTTGGATTTAGGGCTGATAGGATAAGAATTGAAGTCAATAGTTCTTATTCTTTCAAAACCATAACATAATGTGTGAATCTAAGCATATTACAAATCAGTGGGGTTGGCCCAATTGCGATGACCTGTATATCTCATCTGATTATGTATTCGACTCTCACTTGGCTTTTAATAGACCCAAAAAAAGTATAAAATGTATGTTTGTTTAAAAAATATAGGGCAAATTACGCTGACAATCCTTTATGTTGGTTGATATATCATTTTGGTTTATGTAATTTCAATTGGTTTGATTTTGGCTCTAAATTTATTATTTTATCTCAATTTAGTCTAATTGATTATAACTGTTAATATTTTTTAATAGAAAATACGCACATAAGTGGCACGAGTCATACTTTTAAGGGTAAAATTAAAGGCTAGCTCAAATTAGTGAGGTAATCTCAACCAATTCAATGATCATTTTTCATAAAAAACGCTAACAACGCTATTAGCAGGGCTCGCTCTGACTTTTTCAAGACCCAAAGTAAACCTTAAATATGGAACCTCTCATACATATTAAAAAAAAATTGATGAAAAGATATTAACAGTGAAAAAAAATGTATACAAATAATATATATATTTTTTTTTGCATTCAAAGCCGTCATTTGGGATGTGGATTAGCTTTTCGGCTATTAGCCTGGGGCTTAAAAGCTTCATTTGAGATGAGTCTTTTGGCTTTTTTGACTTTTGTAAGAGAAAAAATGAAATAATTTTAGTTTGAATATGCCATGAATTTGGGGTGGCTGATGCACATCCCGTACAGCAGCCACTGTTGTGCACTTAAATGGGTTCATTTCATGACTCATTTCGATAATCCGAACCGTTCACATTTTAGAATACATCAAGTAAAACATACCTACAAAAAATCAAGTTAATCGGATATCGTTTATCCTTTTATCCACTCACATTTGTATCTACAAAAATAAATAACAATTTGATTTAAAGTATTAAAATGAATACAAATATGAGTAGATGAAAGGGTAACCGATATCCGATTAATTTGATTTTTTGCAAGTATGTTCTACTTAACATATTCTAAAATATGAACGGTTCGGATTATTAAAATAGGCCCCGAAATGGACCATTTAGGTGCACAAGGGTGGCTGCTGTACGGGGTGCACAGCAGCCACCTCAAATCCCATTTTATCTTATTAATTTGTTAATTTATTTTGTCTTTTTGTGACTAAATAGTCCAAAAAAACCCATGCCAAACATAGCCATATATTTTTAGGAAATATGACATGTTTGATACAGTTTACCAAAAATTACTACTATCATTATGATGATGCTAAATTGATCTTCAACCGGAACAAATCAAAAAATTAATGAAAAGAAACATAAAGTTGAAAAAATAAATAAATAAAAAAATCATATAACATCAAACAATTATTTAATCAAGTAAAAACATGAACACATACCCATTACAAAGATTGTGACTTGAAATATTAATAATTTTATTAGGGTATGTTTGATTGGATGGATTAGAGTACGGGATTGAAATTATTAATCCGTGGGTCCAATTATCCCATATTTGTTTTAACATTTTGGTTTAGCATTATTAATCCAATGGATAATTAATCCAACAAATTTGTAGGATTATTAGTAATGGGGTAGGAGTGGGATTATTAATCCAATGGATATTAATCCAATTGGATAGTGAATACTATACTAATTTAATAGGATTATTAATACTTCACTATTAGTCTTTTGAATCAAACATGACCTTAAATTAGTATGGTATTTACTATCCAATTGGATTAATATCCATTGGATTAATAATCTCACCCCTACCCCATCACTATTAATCCTACAAATTTATTGGATTAATTATCCATTGGATTAATAATTATAAATCAAAGTGTTAAAATAAACATAAGATAATTAAACCCACAAATTAATAATCTCAATCTCATACTCTAATACATTCAATCAAACATGCCCTTTATGTATTGTTTCCCCAATTCTTACCACCGAGGAAACCTATCAGGTGAGTCAAAACTTTGGTTTTATATTATTTACACTTTGGTCTCAAAATTTTTATAATATAAATTAGAGTCCCAAATTTTTGGATCTATATAATTCAGGTTAGGCCTTGTCTAAGAAACAACTTTGGACCTTAAAAATTCAAGTGGGCCTATTTTTTATGGATATCTAAATCAGATTGGGCCTTTTATAGAAAAAACAAGTTTGGATCTTTAAAATTTAAGTGGGCCTTTTTTCTTTTGAACAGGTGCAAGAGCTAAAACAATTTTGGGACCTTTTTCTAGCCTTTTTTTTGGAAGCCCAAAGCAGCTGCTTTGTGGGCTTACTCCCAAAACTGGGCCTGCTTGTAACGTTTTCTGAAACTTATTTTAATAAATATATCTCTGTGTTTGGATATTTGCGGATCCATAAGTTGGCACCACACACGAAACTGGTTGTTTATTATTTTTTTATTCTCGAAGTTGTAGGAATTGTATCGCATATCGTGCACCATTTTACTTGTTTCGTATTTAAATGTTATACTAAAATTGTGATTTAGAATCAAAATTGGATATTTCGATTGTTTGTTTAATTTATTTAAACATCACATTTCATAAAGATTGCGTCGGTATACTATTTTAGTTGTCAACATTGTATGTTTACATTACAACTCGCTTATTTGTTAATTCAATGGCTAGATATCAATTGTACACTTGACTTGAGAATGATAAAAAAAAAAAAACAAAGTATAAACAATAGACGAAACCTGCTACCACATCATTAATAATATTATTAAAACACCATTTTTAATTTTCTCAACCATTTTTCGTCTGCATATATAGCTTAGGTTGAATTGGCAATTTGAAAGCTAGTACATTGAGCTGCAGTGCGAACTGCAAAGCTATGGGGAGTTTGTCAGTGATGTAGCCGAGTTTC